CAGATAACATTATGGGTAAATTCCATAGGAATGCATCAGGGAAAATTGTTCTCCACTCATCATTTTCATATGCACAATCCAATTGTTCATATATTGGATCTTCTTTTATGTTATTACACCATGTATATTTTAGTCCTACAGAAGGTATACTAGACAACCTATTTTCAATTGTCCAATTTACAAAGTGATTCATCCTTGGGACGCAATCTCTTCCACCCAACTTTTGTTCTAAAGAATCCAGTTGGTTGAAGTCACCAATAAGCACAAAATTCCCTTTATGTGTGTTCATGAGTTCATGCAGCTTGTTCCACACACCTATACAATTTTGTACATACGGACTACCATACACACAGGAAATATTATAGCTAATATCTCCTACTAGGTTAACAGAGCACAGAATAACAAAAGTGTGGACTTCTACCACCTACACAGTACACACACCCGATCTGACCAGCATAGGAACAAACCTCCTTTGCTGGTATTTGCATTGCACCCCGTACTACCTACAAATCCCATTTTACTGAAAATAGGGATTAAACAGTCATAATTACACTTTGTTTCGCTTAAGAAAATAAGATCTACATTAAACCTAGCCGCTAAAGATCTTGTTACCAGGAAAATTGGGGAGTTAAAATCATTCACTCCCCTACAGTTCCAGCTTAGCACATTCATTTTCCACCCGAAGGTTGTTGGCTAGTCGTGCCTTCAACTTTGATTTCAGGATTTTCCTTGCTTGACACTTCACTATCAGAATCCATCATGTCTTCCTTTGCTGCTATGCGTAAGGATCCTAGTAGTATACTTCCCCTCATCTACTTCCATAAAATTTTCCCACAAGTCATCTTCTTTACTAACCCCATACCTGAACTTTTCACACACCTGCTGCACAAACTCTAGTTACTTCCCTTTCCTAATTCTCCCAGCTCTCTTCCTCAACTGTTGTTCTCTTCACCTGCTTCCCATCCATGTTGAAAACCTTCTTAAGATCATCTTCTACACAAGGGCTCCAATCCTTCTTTCTTGGTCCCTTGTCAGTAAACCTCCTTCCCTTTCTCCTTTTAAACAGCATTTTCTTTTCCTCATGAGTGTAAAATTTCTGCTCAAAATCAGAAGACTCCTCACTAGACTCAATCTCAAGTTTACTTAGGTTTAGCACATGAGTCATTTACTCAGAAGAGATCCACAAAGGGGCTGTATTGAAGGACTCCACAGAGGTGGGAGAGTTCAAAGCACCGTCTAGGTTAGGATTCTCCTCTTTTGAGTCAGCTAAAATGGAGGGTGAGATAGCTACTTCCAGGCCTTTCATTTTAGGCCACTCGTGAGCTGGGTTTTTGTGGGATGGTTCAGGAATGTCTAGAGCTTTTTTTGGTGGAGATTGTGCCATAAGGGTTTGAAGAGAAATATAGGAATGGGAAGCTTGGAGACTACGGTAGGTTTTTAGTTCCTCTTCATTCATCATTTCCCTAGGAAAAAAGAACTCAATAGTTCTAATTATGGGATCGATTAGGATACTTTTGGGACGAAAGGGGTCTAGAAAGGGATTGAGAGTGTAGTTTCTGTCTGTGGGGCACAAGGAGACTTTGTAATCTTCTTTCTTTTCCATATTTGTAGTAGACATAAAGGGATTGGAAAAAGCAGTTGGTGGTTGGGGTTTAAAAAAGAAATGAGATGAGAATCTAGAGGTGGGGCTTTCAAACAAAAGATACGGGGGTTTACCATTCTTTAACAGAGAATAAACGAATATCTCTGTGGAGTTTAACACTGAGTTGTAATTATTCCAGGTGGTTGGGAAATTTATAACAGGGGATAGCTGAGTAGAGAAAATAGGGAGGGTAAAGCAATGAATGAGGGGGCAAAGATGATTAAACTTCCAGTTGGGGGACATAGCTGGATGAGAAGGTTTTGAGTCTACAGGTTCCTTATGTGGCAATATAATAGCCTTATGTACCAAAAAGTCTATAGGATTCAAACTTCTTTGGTCAACAAGGCCTGAACCATAAATAGGAAGCAATAAATCGGTAGTTCGAGGGTAGGAGAAGAGATTAGTAACTCTTAGGACTGAAAAACGCAGTTCCTCCGTTAAAGCGTTCTGATGGTTTTCGACGTTGTACCGCCTTCTGCTGTAGCTGAATCCCACACATTGATCAGATTCCTCCGTGCAATTACTTGTCTTTGTGGAGTGCCCTTTTCATTCGATAGAGGAGAAGCCTAATCCCCTAGCTTCCTTCTCTGTTTTTTACTCTCAGTAGTAGTGGGAGGGCTAGTTCTTGTACACCATGCAGTAGTATATTTCCTTTTCTTCTGATTTCGATCAAAAGGAACCATGATCTCTTTTATCACCTCTTCTCTGTTCTTTCCCACTTGTAAGCTTGGAATGATTACCGGTGGGAGGTTTGGTAAGCCTCTTCTGCCACGAAGCGAAAACATGTTTATGACCTTTCCCTGCTCCCTACAGGAGGTCAAAAGGGCTTGAGTTTCTCTCACTAGTATGTTTGCCCCTAGGTCTACTCTGGTTCTCTTCCCACTGCGATGGTCTTCATATTGGGACATACTCCCTTGGACTTGGTCTGTTCTTTCCAACCTCTTTGGGGCTCTATTACTTGGGCTTGGATTGTTTGAGTCATTGGAACTTGAAGAAGATGATGAGCTTGAGTCAGGACTGGACTCCCTACTGCTCAATTGAGAGTGTTGCACTTGATTACTCCCTTCGAAACTCGGTTGAGGAGATTTGAAAGGGAGGGTGTGTGTTCTGAGGAGACTGAAGCAGATATACCCTTAGATTAACTCTAGTCGTTCGGAGTTGATCTTTATCAACTAACCCCATTATCTTCTTTATGTATAGGGGGAATGGTTGGCATGGCCAACAGGAGATCATAATTTAACCCACGCAAGTTCTTGATTCTGTTTGTAACTTCTCGATAAGCTATTTCATGTGGGAGTTTGCACATCGACCTCTGATGTCAGATCTTTCCACAACCATGACAGTATATGAATACTCCTTCATATCTCAAGAACACCCATAGCGCTTTTTGAGGTGTGATTTCATTATAAAAAAAACCAGGAACAAGAGGTTTATCCACTTGAATTGAGACCTTTGCTCTCATTAAGCTATGTGATCTGTCATCCATGGATTGTTGGTCGAACCTGATGATTCTTCCTACCCTTTCCAGCACTCTTCTAGTCGCTTGGTGTTGACATTCTTCCGTTGGGAGTCCTTCCACTCTTACCCAAACAGATGCTTCAGAGACGTCCAACTTATTCACATCAGTTTCCATATGCCACTCTTTGAAGCTATTGAAGGCCCCCTTATAAGAGGCAAAATCCATTGATAGAAGATTGTCCCTATCCTCCAATGAGGTGCAATAAAAGAAGAACAAATCCTTTGAATGACTCACTTTCTGCACAATTATGTTGGTGTTTGATTTCCATAGAAATATAGACTATCACCCCAATTTTGAAGTTGAATTTCGCTAAATACCCTAGCATCCCACACCTTTGCAACAACTGAGATATAATATTTATCAACATCTTTCGGGTAATCATAAGGTGTTTTTGAGACTCCAATCCCCATTCTATTCAGATGTGATTTTACATTAAGATTCATATTAAAACTATTTATGGAAACGAAAGATCTTTTTGTTTAAGGAATAGGAGAGGAAACTGAAAAGGAAGAGCTTCTCTAGGAATACTAGAGAGAAGAAACCACTCTCTAGGTTAGAGAGAGAATTTGTGTATCTAATAACTAAAAAGCTATATGTTCAATAAACTAGTTTCCGAAAGATTCTATTATGAGCTATTTAAAAAAAGAGTTTTTTGAGCCAACAAAAACTCTCAATAAGTTTTTTACCAAACTAACAAATTAAATTATCTTATTAAAATGGCCAAACCACTAACAAGCCTCCAAAAGCTCTTACCAAACAAGGTCCTAATAAGATTTGTAACATGGCCTAGTTTAAAATATCAAATTTTTATAATTTTAGATTAGCACATATATTAGTGAAGTTATTCATGCTTTAAGTCAAATAGAACTGAATAAACAAATCAGAACAAATAAAGTAGATGTATAAGTATATAACTAATGATATGATTATAGTGTGAAATAAAACAACGAGAAGCATAATGTACCATGCATGACACCACCACCTCCACCAGAGAAAAGAAATACTTGAGGAAGGTTGAGCAGTTTCCCAATCCAATCCATAACAATGGATTCAAGCTCGGTCGCAGCAGGTGAGGATATCCAATTGAAACCGACTACATTAAGTCCCGAACAAAGTATCTCTCCCACCAAAGCAGCATTGCTTGCACTTGCTGGGAAATATGCAAAGAAGTTGGGACTTAGCCAATGGGTTAGACCAGGCATAATTTTGTAATCAACATCTTCTAAAATCTTCTCTAGTGACTCAGGGAGGGTTGGGGCGTTTTCGGGTATGAGGTCTCGAAGATAACCTGGTTCGACTTGGCTTCGTACTGGGTAGTCATGTACGTTTTCATAGTAACGGGCTATGTAGTTGATGGCTTTAGAAGCCTCATTTTGTAAAATTTCTGATATTGGATGAAAATTCATTGATGTTGTGTTGAAAGTTAGTATCTATTTTTGGCTTAGCTTAGGAGCCTCTATTTTTAGTGCATTCAAGAGGAGAATTTACTAAGAAGGGTTGATTGTTGGTAAGTGAGACGTATACCAATTTATAGACAATGTCACAAGTGGAATGAATTACTAAAAATGATAGAATGAGAAGGATGACATATTGACATGAATTTTTATGGACACAAATGGAGCTGCAGTTAGCAATTAGAGCATTAAAGGATGCATCATTTATCCTCGGATATATGGTAGTCAATACAACAAAATACTAGGAAATGACACGATTTGTCAACAATATATTAAATTTACCCACTATCATCATATTTGAAGTCTATAGTCATTTAATATTTGAAGGATACAATAAAATTGCCTAATGCAAATCGTTTGAGTTTGGAAATATCTGGCAAAAATGTGGATGGAAATAATGCACTACAATCATAACTTGTATATTCACATCAGATTGTTAATAAGCACTTAGTATCCATTTTTTGCACGCAAAAAATGGAGCCAAGAACGTATCCAAAAAGACTGCCCTTAAAAATGACAATGACTAAACAAATCTGGGTCATGTATTGAACAAACCAGTTACAGTGAAAGATTACTAGCTTACTTGGTTTCAAAAAAAAAAAAAGTTAGACAATTAAAGAAACTAATCTGGTTGATTTATTGACTTAGCTACAGGCAAATCGCCGTCCCCAAACAGGGATCACATGCATGCTGAAGCCTCGGGTGCTGTGTTATCCATATTCTGCGTAGACCACTGGTACAAACATGCCCGCAACATTGATCACAGATACGAAGTATTTTAATGTTGTTGATTCGTCTTCTGTTAACAATCTGTAATTTTGTTTACAAATATTGATCAAAGCCAATGCAAAAGAATAGATAAATAAATAAAAGGGACATTGGGTGGTTTTGATTACACAGATCATTTCAATCTTTTGTATACTCTTAATAACCACGTCAAACCAGCTTCATCAAGAGACCAGCAAATTGACCTTTTGTGACATCTTGTATAGGGCACATTGTCTCACAATGCTACTAAACAGTGCCAGTTCCACTATTTAGGTAACCTGTTACACACAATACATACCATTTTCAAACAGTAAGAGGCACCCAGACCCATAAACCAAGGTAGAATTAGAACTACTAGAAATGAGAATGTGGAGTCTGGGACAATAAATTGCTGCGACAAGAGAAGAGTGTGTCCAGCAAAAATTCTTTCAAGACATACCTAAAATGGCAACCTTTTATCAGCAAAAATTAGAATTGAATCATCTTTGTTACTCAGATCTGACCACTACTGTCAGATATGACAACATGGGTATATCTGCACAGATCCTAGGTTCTCCTAGTAAACACAGACACTTTAGCAGAAGAAACAGCCAGCCTAAACAAAAAAAAATATGTCGCTGACCAACAAAATAATACGGACAAACCAAGCAATAAACCTGGGCAACACTCCAGATACGCAAGAATTATTTCTCACAAATTATGGTCAAACAAGCCTTATGTTTTACCTTAGATACAAACTCCCCACATTCAAGAATAGTTACGTATGTTGATGATGATGATGATGAGAGAGAGAGAGAGAGATGGAGCCCACGTGAGGAGAGAATGAGAGAGCAAAAACTATTTCAAAACACTCATACAAGGTAAAGTGTTGTAGCTGTTGGAGGGAGTGTTATAAGAAGAAAGTAGTCAATTACAGGATTGAGAAGGGGGGGGGGGGTTAAGACATGTAGCGTAGGAGCGCAGCTTGAGGGGAGTTAAGAGGGCAGTAGAGCATCAAGATGAAATAACTTCTTTGTTATTGACTGCCAAGATTTTCCTTAAATTCACTTAAGCCCCAACCTTACAATCTCAATACAATTCCTACCCACTTCACCCGAACCATGATTTCCTGCCACAATGAATTGCTGCACTTTGCTTTTGGAGATGGATCACTTACACGCAGCCCAACACTCACCAATGAGGAACTACAACTTGCACTAATACAGACCCTTAATTCAGTCAGTTCTTGAAGCAGAACACTACCCTAAACTGTCAAGTCCAAAAGAAAGTTGCTGATTACAATCCACCTTGAAGACAAGGTGGAAGTTTGGGTGGCAGGTAATGTTGTGAACTAATGGAGTGGAAGGGTAGTCTAGGAATGCTACACTAAGTTGGTTAGTACTTAGTAGTACCCTGAGCCCAGAGGAATAAGTAAGCAAGTTAGTTTCTCTATATATAGAGGAGAGATAAATGTTTAGTGGGAGAAAAAGCCACTTGAAAGCTCATACTTGGGAGAGAATCCACCTCTCAAAAGTAGAATTATCATTCACATTTACTGTACTATGCATCCTAGTAAAACCATCTTCTTCTTTTTTTAAATCTTCTTCCTTAGTTTACTGTCGTTTATGGTGATATAAGCAAGGAATTACTGATTTTAACAGTGATACTACGTATAGTGATTGATAAGGTGGAAAAATTACATAAACTAAGATATAGTACAACATAATCATCGTCATACATCACAATTACTCTCTCCCTCCTTGGCTTTATTTATAGAGAATTCCTGCCAAACAAACTCTAGATTCTTCTACAAGCTCCTCATATTGTGAACTACCCAAATAGCCCTTTTCTTAATAATATTGAGTCATAACACTCTTCTTGTGCCCAATATGCTCACTTCATGCAAAATTACAAATTGAATTAAAAGTTGGACTATAGTGGTACTTGCAAAGAATGCTAGCAATACCCAATTTCCATAAAGAACCTTGTTCACCATCCTTCAATTAAGCACAAATAACACCCAAAACCATTCCATAACTTCAAGAGGCAATTCAACCACTTAAGAAACCCACCCTTAATATGTTTTGAAATCAATAAAACTTTAGTTGGCAATTTAACCTATGCTTTAAGATTTGAAGGATGCATCAAGTATGACTGCAATAAGTTCTCATTCAACTTAAATGAAACTCATCAACTCACCAACACGGCAACACCATGTCACCCAAAAGGGCCAAAACAGAAAAAAGTATCTTTACAATGAAATTTTAGTAATTTCCATGTATTCATTAGGGTCACTTATCACCATATCACCGAAATGGGCCAAAATAGAAGTACAATGTAATTTTAAGTACTTTCTATTTATTCATTAGGGTCCCTAATCACTCTACCAGAAAGAACATACACATCAATAGTGCTCGATGAGAACCCGTCCTTATTAAATCAACATGCACATCAGGCGTCTAAACAATCAAAAGTTCTAATTACTTCTCACTACAAATACCAGCAAGAATTTAAAAAATAGTGATCTTTCCTGTATCTGCTACCAGCCGGATGCCTTGCCTATAGTATTAACCCCAAAGAATTCTCTTTTGTCAGAATAGAGGGGCGCAGGGATGAGAAGGATGGATTTTATTACTAGATGAACTCTCCTAGTCTCCAAAACTTGCCACACAATCACTTCAATTCATTTCAATTCCAAAAGTTTTCCATGAATCACTATGTTTCATGAGTAATTAAATATGCCTAAGCCAAAAAGAAAAATAATGAATTGTGAATGGACAATCAACTTTCAAACAGAAGGTACGAGCCAAGAACAGCAGCATGAATTTAGCATATAAAGTTTGATAGTAAAGCAGTCTGAATGAGATTACCAGGAAAGCGTTAGTCAGTGAGTTGCAATCAGGTTTATAGCTAATATCATAAACTAGCCAAATGACATAAAAACTATCAGATCATCATTTGGTGAGAAAAAAAGCTAACAAATCTGAGTTATAACATACTACAGAAAAGGCTATGATTTTATATGGCAGTGTCATAAAAAGGAAGCCAAGAAAGACCTTTTTTGCATTTGCGGATTACATGAAGATCAAGCTGTTGCCTGTTCAGAGTCAAGACTTTTGGACCCAGATTCATCTGCTGTATTGCCTTCTGGTACAATTTCTCCACTGCCTTGTGTTTCATCATTTGAGACTGTATCAGTAATTCCAGAAAACACTGCAGACTCTTTGCTGTCTTCTTTGTTTCCAAATAACTTAGAAGGAAGTAAAGAAGCAACTGCAGCTTTCGCACTGGCCTTGGCCCTTTCTGCTTCTTCAATTTCCCTTCTCTTAGCTTCTTCCTTCTCCTTTTCCTTTTGCTCAATCAACGTGTCCAACTCCTCCTCCTCTCGCGCTTCCCTTTTCAATCCATCTTTGACAATTTCCTGCATGTCTTTATTAAGGTCAATACTCCCCTCGTCCAAAATGTCATTGACAATCTTGAGCACATCATCAACCCTTCCAACATCACACAAAGCCTTGAACATAAACTCATAACTAGCATAATTGAACTTGAGCTTCTGAACCATCAAGTCGAAAAATGACTTAGCTTCATCAATCTTTCCTACTTGAACCAATCCTTCAACCAGCTTGTTGTAAGTAGACAAATTAGGTCTTAAGTTCTCACCAACCATTTTCGTAAAATACCCAGCTGCATCATCATGCCGATTCTCCTTCAAGCACGTACCCATCAACAAGCCATAAGTCACCTCATCCGGACTAACCCCCTTCTCACTCATCCTTCCACACAATTCTTCTGCTTCAGGAAGCAAATCATGGTTACACAATAGCTCAATCAAATTATTAAATGATATAATATCAGGATTACAATTCTTCTCACCCATACTCATAAAAACATCAACCGCTTCCTTATACCTCCCTTCCAAGAAATACCCCTCTACCATCACATTATAACTTCCTAGATTCACAGTCAACAACCACGGCGGATTATGCAAGTTCTTCATCCTCTCAAACAACTTCAACGCCTCCTCAAACTTGCCATTCTTACAAAACGCATCAAGAACCAAATTATACGCCGTTTCATCCATCTTAACCTTCGAATTTTCCCCCATTATCTCCTCAAACGTCTCCATCGCCTTATCCTCCATTCCCTTCAAAAAATACCCTTTCATCAACGGCCCAAACACAATCCCCTTGGTCACCTCCCCACCTAATTTCTCCCCCAACTCTTCATAAAGCTCAAAAACCTTATCCCCATCCTTATCCTTAGCAAACCCATTCATCAAAAACCCATACACAACCTCATCCGCCTCGAACCCTTTCGACAGCATCTCATCCTTAACCTCAACCCCCTTATCAACCCTCCCATTATCCACCAACCCCTTGACCAAAACCCTGTAGGTAGCCTTCGACGGCTCGAAAGGGGCATCCTCAATCAACCTTTTATAATGCTCTAAAGCAGTATCAACTTTCCGACACTCACAATACAAAGTAATCAACAAATTATAAGTAATCAAATTGGAAGCAATTCCAGCCTGAGTAATAAACCTATGAAACGACAAGAAATCAGAGTACCTGGATTGGCGCAAAAGCGCAGACAAAACGGCATTGCAAGTGAAAATAGTAGGCCTACAATTGGAGTAAACAGAATGACGAGTGTACAAAGCAGCTTCATCAAGGTCATTCTCGCGAATAAGCTTGAGAATCTTGTTGTGCAAATTGAGGCGATTACCAGTGAGAAGGAAGACATGATCAGGGATTTTGGGGGAATTAGGGTTAGGGATTGAAATAGGGGATTTTCGTTGCTGTTGTTGTTGGTTGTTGTTGTTGTGGCGAGTAGGAGACAAGGGGGGTTGCATACGGAGCTGGCGCTTGCGTTTGCGGCGCTCGGCGGCGATGTCGTCGGGTGTGGCGAAGGAGAGGAGGCGGAAGGAGAGGGAGATTGGGGGTTGGCGCCGGAGAATCCGGTGGTGGTGGTGGTGGTGGTGGTGGAATGGGAGGGTTTTGAGGTGGTGGAGAAATGAGGAGGGTTTGGAGAATGCCATTTTTGTGGTAAAAGAGAGTGGGAGGAAGGGAAATAGGGAGGGTTTTTCGAGGGTTTAAGATCAAACAACTTTACTTTTGGAGAATGTTATGGTAGTGGGGATATGGACCAGTGGTTGGGTCGGGTTAATTAGGAGACCTACCCCATTTCCGCCTCATTGGGCGGGGATGGAGAGAGTTTTGGCGGGTGATGGGGCGGGGATGAGTATAAAATGTAGAGGAAGTAAAAAGGCTGTGTTATGAGACAAATTAAAGTGTCTCACAACTATTAAAAAAATAAAAAGGTACAATGAAGAGAGAGAAATGTGAAGAGAGATAGGAAGAGTGGAAAAGGTAGTGTGGGCCTCACTTTACATGCAAACAGACAAAAATTTAACGGGATCACTACCACTGAGTCTATATTTTGTTCAACTGAAACTCTAGTTGAATCTTTTTTAGTACCACTGTGACTACAATTTATACCACTGAGAGTGTATTTTGTACCACTGAAATTCAATGGTATGATTTAACTGTTCAATTAGACATCTCTAAAATTACGTGTGAAATGCCTATATTGCCCTTACGAAACATAATTTCATTGTCTCACAACCCTCTGTTTGGAACGCCTCTAAAATGTACCCGCCATGGGTGATGGGGCGGGTATGGATTTTAGAGTAGACTCGCCCCATATCCGCCCCACCCCGTACCCACCTTATACCCGCACCATATTTCTTTTAGAAAAATTGAGAATTTATGAAATTTGATACCTCCTAAGACCCAATAAGCTTGAATAGTGAAAGTCCCAATTTTCTTAACCTAATTTGATATAATCGTCATTAATGTGATACAATAGAGCATCATGGCAAAGGGTTTTAGACCATTTTGAGGTGGGTATGAGGTGGGTATGAATATCCAAGTGGGTGATGGGGCGGGGATGGATCTGATGAGTCTACTCCCTCCGTGTTTTTTTAAGTGATACATTTTTCATTTTCGGCCGTGTTTTTTTAAGTGATACATTTCCTTTTTTGGCAAAACAATACATTAAAATATTATATCTCTCCTCTCATGACCCCCACCCAAACCCACTACTACTTTTTTATTATATCTTTCCTCTCACATTCACTACTTTTCAATAAACTATTAACCCCACTATCTTTCTTTAACAATTTTTTAATACTCCATTACCCCACTTACCTCTTATTTTATTTAAGTTAATTAAATTGCCTAAAACTATGTGCCGGTCAATATGTATCACTTAAAAAAACACGAAGGGAGTATTTTATATACTACCTCTGTTACATATTATGTGCAACAAAAACATCGACACAGACTCCTAGACAAAATTTGTATGTGATTGGTAAATGGAGAGAGAAATATAAAAAAGCATGTGATGAGGAGAGAAATAGAGAGAAATGACAACCAATAAGAGCAAAGAAAACATTTGTTGCAAATAAACTGTAGCATCTATTTTTAGTAAATGTTGCACATAATATGAAACGGAGGTAGTGTATTTTTATTCCCCGTCCCACGGTCATATTTGTGTTTATTTGAGCTCTACTGAGCTATTTTTATTACTAATATATATATTCTAGTGTATTTGTAGATTTTGTATTATTTTATAGGAATTTGTAGATTTGTTACAATTCCAGAGCTAATAGACTACTACAAAATTATTGGAATTTAATCGTATTTTATGATCGTATATTTAAAACCCAAGACCGAGTTAACGAAATTTAGTTCGGTGAATAAGAGCTCAATTTAAGAAAGAGGTCCAAAATTCCCGCAAAAAATACAAAACAAGCTATTTGAGAATTGGGACTCAAGTTAACAAGGTTCAAGTTAAAGCCCAATCCGTGTAAAAGAAGTCTAGCTCGCTGCCACCAGGCCCGATTGAGTGCGTTACGAGTATTGCTGATTAATCAAAATATGTCGCCTTTGATTTCATTGGGAGTGTTTTGTCAGTAATGGGATTTATAAAAAGCCCATTAGAGTAAGTTTAGCCCCAAGTCTTAAATCGTGGATGTGTCATTATTTTTTGTGGTCCCCATTAAAAATGATGTCATCAAATTCTTGTTAAAACTCACTAAGACTTACACAAATTTATTACTTTAGCCCTAAGACTTAAATATTTGAGATATTATATATATATATATATATATATATATATATATATATATATATATATATATATATATATATATATATATTTCCTCCGTTCTGTTAATATTGCAACAATGGACTTTTTGCACTATTCAACACTCTTGTTTGACCATATAATATGATTTATACGTTAAGCAAAATATAGTCGTGTGAGATCTTGTTGGATTCGTCTCATAAAATACTTTCACAATATCAAATTTTTATAATTTTTACTCTTACACAATTATAGATATTTAGCATATAAAAGGTGCATTGGGATGCGTAATTTTCTCCTTGTTGCAATATTAATAGAACGGAGGAAGTATATATAAAGGGATAATAAAAATAAAAGTGAGGTGAGTGAAGTGGATCTCAATCTCAAGTTTTAACTTGAGTCTTGGAATTTCAAGAGTCAACTTGAGACTTGTTTGAGATTTTTGAAGAAAAATGGTAAAAATCTTAAGCAAATGTCTTAAGATTCAAATTGATGATGTCACCCCAAGTTTTAAGATGATGACTTGGGGCTAAACTTACTCTTAGCTTTGTTATAAATGGGAGAATAGGTAGCAGTAGTAAAGGATCAGCTTTTCATTGTTTTTAGGGCAATTAGCTTTTAAGATAGTTCTTGATTTTTACTATTACCTTCGTTAAATATTATGTGCAACTTTAGGATATTATTTATGAGATATAAAATAATATAAAGTTGCACGTAATATTTAATAGAGGTAATATTAGTTTTGCTTTTGGAATTGTTTTTAGTGGCAGCTTTTCATTATTTTGCAGAACTTAGTTTTAATTCCTTTAGTTCTTGATAACGCTACTTGGAGATTCATTAGTTACGTATTAGCTTTAGAGTTATTGTTTTAGTTAACTTTGTCACTTTTTATAGTTTATCCCGTTTTTGTTTTACTCTTATTTCTTTGTTTTCAATAGTTTATTTGTTTTATCATTGCTTTCATTATTCTTGCTTTTAATATGCTTACTTTAATACTTTTAATTATGTTTGAATAGTTTATTTTTTTAGGGTTGTGGGGATCCATAGATAATATGAACGGGTAATTATTATTGTTGATTATCAATGCTTTATTAATTTCCTATTGATTGATTTTATGGTATGCAATTAGATTAGCGCTGGTTTAATTGTATGAGTTACGCAATATTGATTCGAGATTCGGAGATGAGAATTGATGTTTAGGCTTAGTTTCAATAGGCAATTAATTTATAAATGGTTAAGTCAAGATTCGAGAGATGCGATTTAATACTGGTAGATTAATCTTGTGATTGTAATACGTAGCGAAAGCCCTTTTTGATCTGATTAATTATTGCATTGGTGATTAATTATTATGTTTTACCCTGGAATATTGTTTATTGGTGAACCTATACCCTAGACTTTTATTAATTGACTAGGTTAACTCCCGTGCCATGCACGGTAATAATTAAATTTTATAACAAAAATTATAAAGAATGATGTTAATTTAACAATAATTTACCAAAAAAAATATTTGTAACAAATTAATAGTCTTTAATTAAGGTTATTGATGGTTAAAGTTGTGTCTTGGCAAATGTGCAAATTCAGCTATAACATAAAAAAAACGGAGGAGTATAATATAATAAAATAATTTTGTTTGGTTGTTCTTATAAACATTATGCATAATTTTAAGATTTATAGAAAGTATGCTACCAAAATATTTTTTTTCTATTTTTAATTAAAATAAATTTTAAGTTGGAGGAAAGAAATTGATATTATTATAATAATCTTGAATAATGATATACGAAGTATTTCAATACCTTAATTTTAATCTATGTTACAACTAGTATATTTGTAACTTAAAGATTCCTTATATATAAAATATATGCTAAAGAAATAATAATAAAAAAATTAATTGAGTATGATTGGATTAAATATGTTGTCAAAATGAAAATAAGTATTATTGTAGGTTAAAAATTGAAAGTTGTTCAAATTTGGCAAAAAAAAAAAAAGGCGGGAAATTTTTTTAATGACATCATGACAAGTGTCACTTTAGATTCGCTTTTAGTATAGGTTAATTGATTTCTTCCTACTTTTATTCTCACTAGTTTAATTTGTTTTAGTTTATTTATTTTCCTTAGTTTATTTATTGTACCCGCCACGAGTGGTGGGGCGGGGATGGGTATAAGATTTTTAGGCGAGTATAGGTATTGAGGTACCGTCATTCACATCCGACCCGCCCCATTGCCATCCCTGGTTATAACTTGTTTGGAAGATGGGATTTAAATGGAAGGGCATCTATATTTGAGGATTTTTCAACCTCTACTAAGTTTTGTCTTTTTAGACTCTACCTATCGACACTTTTAACGGTATTCATTTGGTATTATTTTTAATGTCATTTGTATACCAACAACAACCAAGATAAATCTAGTTGGTATTCTTATTTGACACTAACAAACTCTAAATTGGTATTTCTTTTTATACCAACAAACCTTTATATAATACTATTTATATATTAATATTAGTTAATGTTCATTCGATTCTTGATTAATGACTTTAAATAGTACTAGTTATCATAACCCTACTACTTATATATCGAAATAAATTATCTTAACAGTTTAATAGTCCAATATGATTCGCAATAATAATTATTTAACTAGAGAGATTTGACCAATATCTAAACTTAGTCGACAATGGAACCTCCAGCGTTCTGAGCTTCCGGCTTTACCAAGGTAAATTACCCCAACCCTGTCTTCCTTAGATCAAGCACAACACACATCTAATTTGTTTCCTACCTTACACCGTTATATCTAATCAAACAATTCTTATAGTGTTTATGAAGGAAATTAATAAGAAATATAACTCATTTGATATATAAGGTTTTAATGTTCCCTTCTAGAACGAAACTTTTATTTAAGTTGAAAAGATTACAACACTCATATATTACAACACACAAACTGAAAGCTTAAATAGACATAAATTGAACTAGAGTTTTCTCTACTTTAAGAGAGACGGAGAACCAATCTGTCTCTTAAGGTGAGTATTTTTCTCTAAAGGACTCTCTAATCCTTTTAGAGGAATTTTCTAGCTAACTCTTCCAACTCTTTGTTCACTTCTTTGCCTAATGCCCTTTACATAGAGGAAGGCTCACAAAGGTTACAAATACTTTCTATGGGCTTACTAAAAACCATGACTCGGCAAGTGAATACCATTCACTTCTTTTCTAAAGATACTTTAAAACAAATAAAACGTGCTACTACAGTGAAAGTAGAATTCATTATTGTCGGTGTAGGCTCAGGCTCTATTATCTCTTCCATCATCATAACTTGCAGACCACTCTCATTGTCCTTACTATCTTCATAATGAACATACATTTGGTTGCCTTCTTCTTTACCAAGATCAATCACACCGTTGGAAGCATAGAATTCATCTCATGTGACAAAGATCTCCAATAAGTGCTCTTTTCCCTCTAAGGATAAATATCTCCTAGCTTCAACTTGTTCAAGATAATCATATACCGATTCATCATGTAATACTCTTTCTTCTAAATAATTTCTTAACAAATTCTGGCACTACTATTGTAGTATATCCCCACATGTATTATGAATAGCGATTCTTCCTTTATTGCTAAAAATTGGTTAATATACTGAGAAATCTATAACCCTTAATAAAAATGGGAACTTAGTAACAATAACTTTTGGTGTTATTACACTAACACCCCCGAATTTAATGGAATTTCGAAATTGCCCTTTGAATTCTCACCGACTTTCCTGCTCCCTTTGCTCTGTTTCTTCTCATCTCAGAAAAAAGGCTGAGAGTATTTAGGGCAAACAAGGAGAGAGAAACCTATAGAGAGAAAGTATGTCTTCCTTCAACAACGATGGCGACGAGCTCAAAACCACCGATCATCGATCCCTTTGACAATGGTTATCGGGCTTCGATTATTCTCAGTGTTTCGATTTTTCCGATTTCGGCGATGGACATGAAGGTTGTTTTGTTTAATCCTGGGCTTGCGGTTGCTAAGGTTACGGTTGTGGAAGATGATTTTCCGATCTCCAAGGTATAATTATCTCTCTTCTCTCCTTCTTGTTCTAATTGATCCAATTTTCATCTCTTTTCTTCAATTAGATTTTACCTTTTATATCTGAATGTTGACTACTTTTTTGTTTGTTTATTTCTCCTTTTATTTTCCCCTTTTTTTTCTCTATTTTCGCTCTAAAATAAGCGAAAGGAGAAGATGGAGCAAGGTTTGGTGGACTCGAGTTTGAGGCGAATATACTCAGGTATTGTTGGATGTTCGGTCTTTTTTTTTTTAATTTAATTTCTACAAAAATTTTCTTGATGTTGTTGATGTTTGTTTGTGTTTTGTGGAATTGATGGAATTTTACTTTGATTGATTGTGAAAATTGAACTGTAAAATTCGAACTGTTTTTTGGTAAATTGGCAAGTGAATTGGTGTGAGTTTTGAGTGGTTATATTACACATTGATGAAGTGTTTTGTTGTTAGTTACCCTTTATAATGGTTATCACTTATCAACAAGTAAATTTTTTTTATTTTCCCTCTATAATCATTAAACGCCCAATGCAAGGAGTCAAGAGTTGGTTCACACTGAATTTCCAGCACCCAAACTTTAAAGGTTAAAATCTGAAAACCCATTGTCCTCGTTCTACACACATGATTTAGTTACCTCAATTTAATCTTTCTCTAATTGCATTCATAAATATTAAAGCACTACAATTCACTTTAATGGATACTCCACCAGAAGTATTGATGAGCAATTTCGTGTCTATGTTCTCAGCTTGCTTTAATTTATGTGTGTATTATTTCTACATTTTCAATTTCCTAAAGGTTTTGAATTTACAGTCAAGTAGAGCATATTTCCCCCCATTTTCTGAACTTAACCCCCCCATTTTTTTTTCTTTTTAATCAGTGTGATTATCCAATCTTTTATGTACTTCTGTATTATTAAGTCCAAAGTATTATTTTCTAATTTCTTTGAAAGACCTAATAAAGACAAAGACATACTTTCCTTATCTCTAGAAGTTCTTCCAGTTTTGACTTCTGATTGTGTGACAATCATTGTCCAAGTAAGAAGAACCTTTAGAGACAAAGGGAGTATCTTATTGGGACTATTATGGGTTGATGAATGAACTTGTAATTCTTCATGTCAACGGTATTTCTTCTTGAAATCATTGTGGTCCTGAGTGGTAAAAAAATCAGCAGCAAAGATGTTAGAGAATATTTTCATTTCCAAATATGCTTTTTACATCTTGTCCAACGTCTAGCAATTGGTTCTGCGCGGTAACTGCCATGTATTTCATTCAACACTAATAAAGAGATCAAGATTGATAATGCTGGGCCTAATGGACACCTATTGCATCTGTAAATATATTGTTTAAGCTGTAAACACGTTCAATTTGCTCATGCTTTGCTTAAGATCATAATGGCCAGATTCGTTAATGTTAGATGTATGATCATTAGGATCAGGTACGGTCTTGTGCTATTTTGATCTTAAAGGGGCTCTTTTTAAAATCATTTGCTTTTTATGCAGTTGCCAAAATTTTGTTTCTGGGTTTTCCTGCTGGAATTGGCTTTTCATATTTCGACACTACATCTGATTTGATATCTCATGGAGACAAAAGAACAGGTATTACTCTGCCTTTAACATATACGACGTGGAATTTTATATTTTTTAAAAATAGAATCATTTATGGTTATATACTGTTCTTTCTATGGATTTCAGCTTAGGACTCCTTGAAGTTTCTGCTGGATTGGATCAAACGGTTCCCACACTATAAGCGGAGAGAATTTACATTTTAGGAGAGAGCTATGGAGGTATTCCTTAAATTAGGGTTTATTTGCACCATTATTGTTGAATTCGATTTGGAATTTTGTTTATTATTATGTATTCTTTTGTTAAATCAATTGAAGCAACTTCTGAACTTCTTTCTCCATTAAAGCAGCTTGACAGGTTATTTGTTGATTCTACGATGCCGTTATCTCTGATCTCCAGGTATAATTTTCTCTCCTTTCACTTTCGTGCTCTAATTTTAATTAGTATTATTAATTTGGTTGGGGGGGGGGGGTTGATTGATCTGAGTTTAGTGTGATTATGACTAATTTTATAGTTGTAATAAGATTGAGTTAGTGATGCTTGTGTTATTTTAGATTTCTTTCTTACATTCAATAATATTGATAATTAGTGGCCTATTTTAAATTCGGTTGAAAATTTGCTATTTATTTTATTACCTTTTGTTCTTCTGACATTGGGTTATTGTTCTAGAAAATAGGAATATATATGTCAATGAATAAGTGAAATGTTAAAGTTTGAATCTATTTGATTGTTGTGTTTGTAGGATTTTGTATAGTTTGTATGCAAATGGCTTTTAAATTTTTTTATGCACAGTTGCTCAAATCTGTCAGCCCAGCCCTGATACAACTGAGTTGTAGTTCTCGGTGTCTTGCCTGCTCGCCCTGCTTCGTTGAGTTCCAGGGGAAAAAGAGGAGGAGATCGAGAAGATCAAAGATAATCTCAGAGAAGTTCTCAAGCACTGTGCTCAAATGCTTTCAGAGCTCCGAACTTCATAAGTATCTTGAACTCTGTGAGTGACTTCTTGCTTTTATGAGAAATAGAAATGTTACCAGAAACCTAATTCTAATAATTGTGATCCCGCCTAGACGATTGTTTGGCTAATCAATGTATTTGAGATCCAATGTATTGATCATTCTTTATATTGATTTATGGTTGTTGGATTAATGTTAATTTGTTTTCTATTGTGCAACTTAACAATGATAAGAGCCCTTTTCAAAGAACATTTGTGATTCAGGTACCTTTTAAATGCCTAGGTAGCTTTTTTGTTTTTGCGTATGTACTTTAGAAGGCTTCTTTTAAGTAATGCTCAAGCGGCTAAGCTTATGAAAAGATGCAAGAAGCAAGGAGCTGTCTACTTGGGGGGAATTTTCCTTTTAAGCTTATTCTAGGCATTGATAGTTGAAAATGAATTAAAATTTGTCATCCCCACTTCGCTAATTATCATTTGTGGCTATGTGTTACATAGTATGTTTATATACCCTTGTTTTATGATTTACGAACCTCCTTTATTATATTTACTTATTTATTTTCTATTGCGAAGAAGGGATGGAATAAGATAACAAGGTATAGTGCTGAGAGGACCATCCCAAAATTTCATTGGCTAGGCCTATAGAAAAAAAAATAAAAAAAAAATAAAAAAAAAATATATTTTAACGATTGCGATGTGTATTTGATTAAGAAATCTAATCCTAGAGTAAGAAAGAACATATTTTATTTCAATTTTATATAATATATTTGTGTAAATATCTTTTAGAATAGGGATTATCCTCATTTCAGTTTCCTAAGATTTTCTTGATTTGTCTGCTATATGCATGCCTTGAGAGGCTGAGATTCATACCCTATGACTGACTAACATAGATTTCAGGCTACTGTTCTTTCAAATTTCTAATATAGACACAAATGGTATTTCATATGATTGGGTTATGATTGCACGTGAAGCAATGTGCAGAGATGTCAAGATAGATAGGCAAAACGAGGTTAGATGTAATGTTACTACATTTCTAGATAAGTCACACAATCACACTTGGTTTGGAGATTAAGGACATTTTTTTATCGTGAATTAAATTTTTAGAAATGGGTGTAGACTATAGAAACAAACGAAAGGGATAAAGCACATAGAAGGCTCATGATATAGGGCGAGAAGAGGAGAAAATAGAAGTGTGACTGTGTGAAGATTATATTGGGTCTTACATATTAAATCAAATATTACAAGTATCCTTATTAAGCTTAAAGAAAGAATTTATAGACTTGCATATTTCAGAACATTTAGACTAATATGAATGCTATAATAATTAACTTTGTTTTTTCCTTCATTGTTTCATGAAGATGGTTGGGCTTTATAGTTACTTTGATGCATGTCCTTAACAATAAAATTAAAGCTATAGAAAAATGAAGTTAATTACTTCTATCAGTATTAATGTTGAGATAATTTTTAGTATAGTCATGCGCAGGAAATCTTTGGAGTGCCAAGATGCTTCTCTAGCTCTTTATAAATTCCTATCCCCTTTTTTTTCCCCCCAATTCTAGAATAATGATGTTAGTGGGTTGTATGGATTGGTTTTGGGTTTATTTCTTAAGATATACTGGTTTGGTAAAACCACACATCTTCTTATGCTTTGCTTTATACAGTACATTTATATTTAGATTAGAGAAATTGGCAGCACATTATTCTTTTCAGCAAACATGATAGATAATGAACTTGGTTATTGCTTGTATATGTTAAGCCTTTTCGGTTAGTTATTGACATGCATTTTTTTATGGCTGCTTGCACAGGCTCTCATGGGAAGACCCAAAATTTTCTATAGAATGCTTATTATGTGATTTCTTATAGTGTGCTACAGTTGTCTTTTGGAACATTTAGATGTCTGGATATGCTCTACTTATAATTTGTCTTGCAGCTGGTTGTATTAATGTGTTTAATATTTTAACCGGAAAATGTATCTATAGTGGTTAACATTAGTATTATCCAAAGAGGAAATTAATATTGGAGGTCTATAGGATATCGATAAAGAAAGTTCAACAATACAAATTTTTGGTTAGAATGTATGCTTTTTTTAAAAAAAAAAATTATTTATTTTTTTGTGAATCCACTTGTAGCTCCACCACTTGGCCCTGGTATCCATTCTATGGTGGATAGGGTTGGTCACTGTTTTCATTTTTTACCTCAGGCCCAAGTGTAGCAGTTGGCATTGGTGGTGGATTTGACCTCCTTGTCTTGTTCATGGTTATTGGAGCGGTTTCAGCTGTTGTTTGGAGGTTACTTAGACCCAGCTGTTGTTTGTAGATGATTATTAGAGCAGAAGATAGCCAACCAAAGGACTATGTGAAGTTAATGTATTTGTGTCTAACTAATGTTTTTCTACTCAAATAGGCAAATTACATTGTATGCAGGTGTAATTATTCCTGAAATCCGATTATTATCCAAAGATTATAAAATACGAGTATTGTTTTAATTCCATTGTTTTGACTTTTATTGCTTTGAGATGAGCTCCTAAAAGGAGATTATAGGCATACAAATCCATACCTTTTGCAAGGCACTTCCAATGGGCTCATATATTCTTATTTTCGTTTTTCCCTTGCATACATATTTTCCATGCAACTTTTATTATTTGTAAAAATGCTTATACCTACTTATAACACAAGTAATCCTATTATAATTTTTTTTAAAACAAGTAATCCTATTATAAATAGTAATATAAAAACAAAATAGAAGTCATATAAATAAGGTTTTGAGAGTCAATTTGGACCTTTGAGGGTTTAGTTTTTAGTCAAAATTTGCATAAAATTAACAAAAATCTTCAGCTTGCATAATAAAAATACCTCATGTGTTGAATAGTTCTACCCATAAAATAAAAGTTAGAGAGGAGGAAATGGGAGTAAGAAGGTAGTGGTGATAAGGATAAGTTTAAATTTTAAATATGCCTTTTGGAATACCTTGACTTTTATAGTATGTTTTAAGAGTAACATTTTAGGGATATTATTACAAAGAAAAGTATTAAAGGTATAGAGTAGCATCCACTGTATGTCTGTATCCACTACATAGGTTAGATAAAACTACTAACCTTATTAATCAAATTTCAAATGCTCTTTCATCTATCAAATTACATGATCAAATTAATAAGATTGATGTGATTAGTTATTTGATATAATCATCTAAGCTACTTAGATAACTAGATGTGATCAACCTAACATATATAGTATGGTTATATCATGTTTCTTAAATGGAATTTTTTTTAATTTGCATCGGGATTACAACAACTAAGAAGTTTTTCACCAGAGTTCTATTCAACGTGTCCTTTCACAGTTTTTATCAAGGATTATTATATAATAGTCTAATATTTGTATATTATTGTAAAACTATTTAAAATTAAGGTTGATTATTGTCTCAATATTTGACTTCAACTTAGGGCCTGTTCTCTTACGTTGAAATTCAATTCAGTTCAGTTCAGTTCAGTTTAATTTAGTTCAGTTCAGTTCAGTTCAGCTCCTAATTTCCTTCTCTTATAAAATATTCATTTCAGTTTAGTTAAGATCAGTTCAGTTCAGTTTAGCTCAGTTCAGTTTAGTTCAGTTCAGCTGATTTCAGTCATTGAGAACAAGCCCTTAATCATAATTTTTTCGTGTAAGCACACCATAAACAAGTAAGATGGAGAGATGAGTCAAAAGAAAACATATATAGTATATTTTGTTATAAATTTATAATCATATATAGTATATTTTCTTTTAAATTTAATCATATATATTATTTTTTTAGAAATTTATAATGTTGTCGTCTTTAAGTAAGATGTTCAAAAGAAAACAACATACAATTCAATAATGACCCTAACACCTTGATTATATGTATATATGTTTACATTTTGATAAATTAGTATGTTTTGATTAAATATTTAAACAATTACAATAACTAGGGGCACCACCAAAATAACTTAACATTTGTAGCACTACATAGTACACAAGCATTTTACAAGGATCATGCTAGATCCATCAATAAGTGCTCTTTAAAAAAAAAAATTGTCTGTATAACCATAGTATGTAATTAGCTTTAAAAAGAGATGGGGGATGGAGGGAGATGGGAAGAAAGAGTGATAGGGAGAAAAAAATAACAAAAGGAGAAGGAGAGTATGAGAGAGGGATGGAGAGAGAAAAGGGAGAAATAGAAGTGAGGGAGATAGGGGGGAAGGAACCCGGGAAAAGAAGGGTCAAGAGATAAAACGCGGGCGGAAAAAATGACAGAGCGTGCCGGAAGAAAGAGCGAAAGGGAGGACTAGAGAGAGGAGGTCTAGAAGACAGTGAAAGAAAGTAGAGCCATGAGAGAGGAGTTAGGAGAAAAGAGAAAGAGAGTGAGAGTGAGAGTGAGAGTGAGAGAAAAAGAGAAAGAGGGCTAAAAGAGGGAAAGATGAGTCAAAAGAGGAAGCAGTAGCACAAAAATAGATAAAGGGGCCTAGAGAGAGTGGGGAGGTGGGAGAGAAAAAGAAATATGAGGGGCCAAAAGAAAGAGAGAGATCGAGAAAAGCTAAGAAAGATAAAGAGGTCAAGGGTAGAAGGAGAGCAAGTGCAATACTTTGTATAATTTTTCAAAGCCTTTTTAAAGATAGAATAAGGACAAGAGAGATTACAAAAGAAAGAGAGATTAAGAGAAAGAGTTTCGGCTAAAAGAAGAAATGAGTGAGACGAAATAAGGAGATAAGGCCAAGGGAAGGGAAATAGAGGACGGGCTGAAAAAGTGATAGAGCAAGTCGAGAGGGAAGGGGAGAGCGAAAGGGAGAACGAGATAGAGGAGGTCCAACAGAGAGAAAAAGAAAGAGGGACTATGAGATAGGAGTAAAGAGAAAAGAGAGAGAGAGAGAAGGGCCTAAGAGAGAAAGAAAGAACGAGAAAGAGGACTAAGAGAGGGAAGGAGGGGTCAAAAGAGAAAGAAATAGAACGATAAGAGACAAAGGGGGCCTTGAGAGAAAAAAGAGAGGGGGGTCTAGGAGAGCAAAATAGAGGTGGAGGCAAAAAGAAAGAGAGATGAAGAAAACTGGGAAAGATAAAGAGGTCGGGAAGAGAAGGAGGATTGAGAGGGAGAGATAAAATGCAACCTATAATTTTCAAAGCCTTTTTAAATATGGAACATGAACAAAAGAGATTAGAAAAGAAATAAAGATGTGAGAAAAAGTGTTTCGGCCAATAATAAAAGGAATGAGTAAAAGGGGAGCAAATGCGGCCTACGTATTTCAAAGCCATTAAAAATAAAACATTAAAAAAGAGGAAACGATGAGACAAGACCAAGGGAAGAGAGAGAGAGAGTATAGTCTCACTTCATTTCAAAACAACTTAACTCATCTCGCTCTCACTTGATTCTTTTCTTTTCTTCCTCATTAACATCTTTTCGTAATCTCTAACTAATACTTCGAACATCATTCATCAACTTTTGCTAGCCATGATCGATTAAGATACCGATCCAACCAATCTAGATGAATGTTGTACTTAATCATTGCCCTTTCTTTGCAATTAATAACCTTGATGTTAGAAGAACACCCTTCAATATTGTCTTCCATGAATAAATTAAAGTCAAGAATGAGAGAAATAGTTGCAATGTACAACTTACATAAATTTTTGTGCTTAATAATGAACGCTAAAACAGAATTATGTATAGAAATGTTTGTCAATGAAACAGGAGCTAAATAGCATACAAACTTATGTATTTTGTGAAGGGTCTTTCGATTCTCCTAAATTCTTCATCTTCAACTTTAAAAGCAACATATTTTGAAACAGTCAACACATTGATTTATTTGCTAAATGAGTGCCTTCTCATAAACTACATTTTCAAAACAACAATACAATTCTATATCTTTTACATTTAATTCATTTTACATAACCTTAATCTTTAATATTACATTTTCTTATTACTACTCCTTTTTATCACAGTCATTTTAAAACAAAGTTATTCGATAATTATTTAGGTAATAAGAAATCGTATTGCGTTTTAAAATAATTTCTTAAACAATGGTTTAATTTAATTCAAATCTTTAGATTCTAACAAATTCTAGATAACCTCACTTTTAATAATTGTTTTTTCATAGATATTTCCCCATAGAAAACTTATTACTACTCCTTGTTATCACTTACAAATTCATATATCCTTGTAATTATAAAACCCGAACGCAACCACGAATATTACAAAACCCAAGTACTACAACGATATTTACATATCTTACCGTCGGGGGGCACGCACGTAGCGCGTGCTCCAACGACTAGTATAAAAAAATCCATAAGCTCTTGCCTCCGTAGAATCTTTTACTCGTTTATGCTGGATACAAATCGGATCTTTGACCTTGCGATGAACATCTTCAAATATGATCAGGAAATGTGGAGAGCTAACTTTTCCTTCAACCATATAGATGTATGTTTACACTTAGACTTGCTCAACTCTTCCTTTATATCTTGTTGCATCGTAAATTCTTCTAAATACATACCTCTGGAATTTTGTGAGCTTCTAAAAGAACGTAGTTTGTTTATATGGAAATGATACAATAATATGAACCATTCCATAATTCCAAGCTTTGTAGTGCTCCGCCACTTATGGTGCCCTCCATTATTCCAGAGAATGTGGATGAATTTACACATTACCCACTCTTAAATTAGTGTTGAACATTATTCTACTTCCCCATAGGTCATAAACAACATACAACTTGTATGACCTTGATACAACTAAGTTGTACCAGAATCTAAACTGGTTATCTTTTATTTTATTTAGTATTATATCCTACATATCATGAATGAGTCGCAAGATAATGATCATTACTTCATACATTAGAAACCTTCAAACTGCTACATGACAACTTTTAATCAAACCATCTCGAGATCTCTTTTTTGATGAAACAATCATGGCCTCCATCAAGGCCCAAGTGGAGGGTCAAACCCACTCCATTGCTTTATCAGTTTCTTCAATAAGAGTTTTTCTCTCTGCCTCCATCTTTTTTAGTTGATGAGCAAGAGGTTTTTCAGATGTCTTGTGCTTCTTCTCCGTTGGCTAATTCTTTGGTCAAGCTATCTGCCAAAGAATTATTCGATCCTTGTATATGTTCAACAGTAAAAGAAAATTGGTTGAGTCATAATTGCCAATGTAGAAGTCTCCCTTGTGCTTGTATATTAGAAAAATTCTTTTTAACAAAACCAAGTTTCCTTTGCAATATGTTCTTATTAAGAATTGTTTAAGATTTAAGAAGATTAAGAACTTCTCGATCCTTCTAATGATTGCAATAATTTCCTTTTTCATTGTGGGATAGTTTAATTCAGCTTTATTAAAACTCTCAGTGTTATATCTACAAAGTCTTTCTTCTTCTTTGATTTTTTATACACCACTCTAGTGCTCATTACAAGCGTATGTTTTAGGGATCAAATCATCTTCACTAGTAGGTATCGTTAGTGCATGGAGATTTTTACACATAGCTTTTAAATCTTGAACATTTTTTG